ACTATAGTCTTTCATAGTCAGGACTATAGTCTTTCATAGTCAGGACTATAGTCTTTCATAGTTAAGACTATAGTCTTTCATAGTCAGGACTATAGTCTTTCATAGTCAGGACTATAGTCTTTCATAGTCAGGACTATAGTCTTTCATAGTTAGGACTATAGTCTTCCATAGTCAGGACTATAGCCTTTCATAGTCAGGACTATAGTCTTTCATAGTCAGGACTATAGTCTTTCATAGTCAGGACTATAGTCTTTCATAGTCTTTACTATAGTCTTTCATAGTCTTTACTATAGTCTTTCATAGTCAGGACTATAGTCTTTCATAGTCTTTACTATAGTCTTTCATAGTCTTTACTATAGTCTTTCATAGTCAGGACTATAGTCTTTCATAGTCAGGACTATAGTCTTTCATAGTCAGGACTATAGTCTTTCATAGTCTTTACTATAGTCTTTCATAGTCTTTCATAGTGAGGACTATAGTCTTTGATATAGTCAGGACTATAGTCTTTCATAGTCAGGACTATAGTCTTTCATAGTCTTTACAATAGTTTTTATAGACGCGACAATAACCAACGGGATAAATACATCTCTTCACTCTTGCTTTAAATCATTTTACACTGACTCTTGAGAAGTAAACATGTCTTATGAATGCGACATCTGCGGTAAAACGTTTGCAAATGCGAGTAATCTCCTTCGCCACAAGAAGGTTGTCCATGCATATGGAACTCGTAATCTTGGGCAGCAAACTCTCACGGTGAATGGGGTTACAGTCATGCAGCATCCCTTTACATGCATCGTTGCAGGATGTACCCAAAGCGGCAAAACCGTATGGGTGAAATCTCTCTTGGAGAATGCTCAAACGACTATAAGTCCTACTCCTCAACGTATCATTTGGTGTTATGGTCAATGGCAACCGTCCTATTTTGATATGATGAGGATAATGCCTGGAATCGAGTTTAATGAAGGCATCCCCGACGATATCGACAATGCAGATTACTTGGACGTATCGCAACGGAATTTGATCGTATTGGATGATCTTATGGCTCAATCTGGCAAAGATAAACGTATTTCTGATCTTTTTACGAAAGGAAGTCATCATCGAAATTTGTCTATCATCTATATTGTCCAAAATATATTTCATCAGGGCAAAGAAATGAGAAATATTAGTCTAAACGCGCATTATATCGTATTGTTCAAGTCACCAAGAGATAAACAACAAATTTCTATGCTTGCAAGGCAAATAAATCCCGGCAAAGTACAAGAGTTTATGAGGAGTTATGAAGATGCTACGAGCCGGCCTCACGGGTATTTGATGTTGGATTTAAAGCCGACAACGAGTGACCAAGATCGACTCAAGACAAACGTACTTCCCGGCGAGATTGCAAAGTTTATACAAAAACAGTCGTATCGTCAACCACCGCTTGTAAATGCAATGTATGATGCCGAGCAGCGAATGAAAGAAATCATGGATGCACCACAGCTTAGCGCAGTGGAAAAAAGCAAATTATACTCTGATCAACTAAATCGGTTTTTGACATTCAAAAATAAGATGGATGTTCCGACTCAAGCTCCTGTTCAGACAACTCCATTCGTGCCTGCAGAGATGCCACAACCCAATGAATCTGTCGAGATAGCACCACCAGTGCCTGCTACTCCTAAACCTAATTTCCTTACACCACCACCAACAGAAGAGGAACGGCCAAAACTCAAGCGCAACTTTTTCCACAATTGGGTAGACTCTACAGATTGGAGGCCCCAAGATTTGGCAATGATGACCCCTGAACAAAGAGAAGGTTACGAACAAAGATTACTTCGCGAGAGGCCGAAATATATTCCAATGAAGGATGAAGATGTTGCAAAGTTATCCCCAGAAGATAGACAAGAATATGAAAACTCTTTAAAAATAACAAAAACACCTAGACGTTACGCTCTTAGAAGTAGACCGTACTAAATTTTGTAAAACGTTTTGAAGAAATAAATGTATTTAAAAACTGAAATATTGTGTAATTTTTGCCGGCAAAGCCCGCTCTTTCCGCCCGCGCGACCCGCCCGCCTGATTAGTGTACAAATATGTTGTACGTTAATATATGCATGCACCCAAGCGTCGCTAATGACTTAGCAACACATAACAACGTATATAACGATTACATGTTTTTATCGCAAAATATATTACAACTGTTCCAATTCTAACTTATATTCTTGATAAGCTTACTTATGATCTGACTCGGTCATCTTAACAGTATATATGTATGTAGAATATTTGCTAAAATAACGTTGAACAACATGTAAATATTGACCTTAACAACGACGTTGACAACTCGGGATTAGGAACCGTTTAGTTTAAAATATGTCTTGATTTTTTGTGACGAATAGATTCCTTATTTGCCATCGTTCGTTTTCGTTCATCATGAAGTAGTCATGTTGTCTTTGACTAGGATGACTGACTTGACAACCACTACAGGATTCCACACAAAGTCTTTCAACTTTTGGCTGCAAAGCGCGCCTGTCTTGTCTAAATCACTTTCTCTCTTCCCGCACGGATAACCCGCGACGCCCGCGCAATGAATATCCTAATCTACCCGTATTTATCCACACAGTAGAAAAATGTAAATCTCTGATAAAAGTTAATCCTTTAATTAGTGTCACCCTAACAACACGTAGCAACCGGTGTGCTTTAATATAGCTTAAATTTATTAACCTTATCCGAGTTTTAGTACTTTAAAAAGCAATAAAATATAGAAATCGCTTGACAATTATATATCATAACCTCTAATTTCCATGTGTTTATATAACCCTAGACAGCAACATATTCTCTCGTATATAGACCTCATATGGCAGACCGGGATTTAAATATTAGTTTAATTGTAGATAGATAATAACTTTTATGTTTTGACGCTTGATAATATTTATATATTACTTAACAACAAAACATATAGCTGTATACCCCGAATATATAAGTTTTAGATATATAACACTAATGCTATTTCATATAGTATCAGATCTTTTTTCTCCTCTAGGAGAAAAATTAAAGGAATAACAGCAAAATGCTAGAGCTGTACTTATAAAACTCCAGACAACAACATATTCTCTTGTATATAGCCCTAACTATTGTGTCGCACACGAGGAGGGACGCTGAAAAATGCGTAGTCAGCAAGTTTTACCCGTCCTTGTTTAAACCTGCCCGCGTGACGTCATTGCATATAATTATGACGTATGATAATGAGTGACGTCATTACTACTCCTCATTCCTCCTCACTCCTCCTCACTCCTCCTCCTCCTCATTTCTCCTCACTCCTCCTCCTCACTCCTCAATCCTCCTCCTCACTCCTCCTCCTCACTCCTCAATCCTCCTCCTCACTCCTCCTCCTCACTCCTCAATCCTGCTCCTCACTCCTCCTCCTCAAAAATCCGGGTCGAACGGCCTCTATATTACTACTCCTATTCCTACGGCGCCAACAGATTACCAACAAAGTCTTCCTAAATATTATGAACGATGATGCACACAAATTACACGAACTACAGCCTGCTAAAAACAATATCTCGCTTAATTTACGGAAAAAGACGAAATTCATTAACCCAAGAGTAAAAACGAACCGTTATAGAAATAGTTTTATCATCAGTAATTCAATTAAGGCATATATAATTAACAATAGTATTAGGCAATCTAAGTATAAACACGATCAGTTCAGGAACTGTTTTAAACAACGAATCATTTTAGAAATAGTTTTTAACTGAGTGACGTCATTACTACTCCTCATTCCTCCTCACTCCTCCTCACTCCTCCTCACTCCTTCTCCTCCTCCTCCTCCTCACTCCTCCTCCTCATTTCTCCTCACTCCTCCTCCTTACTCCTCCTCCTCACTCCTCAATCCTCCTCCTCACTCCTCCTCCTCAAAAATCCGGGTCGAACGGCCTCTAAATTACTTCTAATAGGGAGGTTAAGTTAGACCTGATCATAATAAGGCGTCTTCGTAAGATTCTGTTGGGTAGATGATTCGCATTGCTCGTCTTTGAATAGTTTCGAGATCTCTCGAAAGATACGTAGGGAGACCATCGTGATACACTGGGCAAGCACATTCAATTAAAGATCTGATGCAGGATTTAAAAAATTGTACCAATTCCAAACAACCCACTTTGGCGCGCTTTAACTGAGTTGGGAAGTACAATCTTTTTGAAGATTTTATAACGAGTTCGCTAACATGATAATTCCATTTTAAGTTGTCGGATACATCCAGGCCCAGAATTTTCAGTGGCATGTGGGACAACTTCAAGGGGGGCGTTATTTATCATAACGGGTGGAAAGTCTTTTTCTGATTTCGTAAAACTAATTCTCATTTCTTTACATTTGCGCTCATTCAACACGAACTTTACAGTTTTGGACTTGCGTACGAACTCCTCTACGGTTGATTGGATATGACTTACTTCGTCTTTTTTAACAGTTTCGGAGATGTTTGAGTCGTCCACATATTTCCACGTCACATCGTTAGAGACATTTAAATCGTTGATCATGACTAAAAACAGCCATGGGCCCAATTTTGTTCCTTGCGGTACACCCGCAGGGACCGAACCCCACTCCGAAACACAATCTTGGCAGAGTTTAACTCTTTGTTTGCGGTTCAACAATAAATTTATTATCCAATTGACAACGTTATTTGGAATTTCGTACGACACTAGTTTCTGAATTAAAATATCATGATCGATCAGATCGAAGGCCTTTTTGAAATCGAACAATACAATCCTCACTGTTGCACTATTACCACCAGTGTCACAGTTCCATTTATGTAGCATCCTAGAACAGCTGTTTTCGTTCACATATGTAGATAGCGTCCATAGAAAGGCTTTAAATATTATTCTTCTAGGCTACACAGCTGCCACTATATACGCGCTTGATTTCTACTATATCAACTTGAAGAACACGTGCTTGTTTAATTTAATGTTAGCTGGGCCTGTTCTAAGAATTCGTCCATTGAGGGGGGGGGGGGGATCTACAAAAAGGGACCATACTAAACTAGGCTTGGAGAGATGACAGATGGTTGTTGGTGACCGATATATTCACGATAAACATCGTTCACAGCATTTTGAATTATTTTTAATTTCATTATTTTAGACTCAGTAATAAGATGCTGCAGTTGAAATTCTTTATATTCGTGGTTGTATTTCTTCCTGTGATTAATAATTTGAAGGTATTTGTGCTATTATTATTCTTTATCATATGCAACAACAACAACAACAACAACAACAACAACAACAACACAACAGCAGCAACAACAGTAGCAACAACAGCAACAACAACAGCAACAACAACAACAGCAACAACAACAACAACAGCAGCAACGGCTGCAACAGCAACAACAGCAACAACAACAGTAACGACAACAGCAACAACAACAACAGCAGCAACAGCAGCAGCAACAGCAGCAACAACAACAACAACAACAACAGCATCGACAACTGCAACAACAGCAGCGGCAACACCATGCACCAGCAGCAGCAACACCAACAACAGCGACAGCGTCCAAAAGAGTTATTTTTTTAGCGACAAACCGAGGAGCGAAACAATTTTCAAACTCAAAACGTACACTACCAAAGTAAAAAAAGTCGGAAAATCAACGCTATCGATACTAAACATACGTAGTAAAATACAGTGAATTTACTTCAATGGACTTAGTGCCAAGCCCGAAATGTATTTTTCTCCGACGAAAATGCGAAAAAACGAATATAAACATTGAAAAACACTGGCCAGTACCACATGTTTTGATTCAAATGATCCACGTTATTCAGATACGTCTTCGAAAATATACGTATATAAATACTACAATGTGCAAATTGTCCTTAAACATTAAATTTTAAAAAAGACCTTAATTATGACAGTTTATATATATAAGGATATTCCTGGGCTCAAAATAATTTGATCAAAATTGTTTTTATAAATGCTGTAATGAACAAATTGTTTTTCGGCAACTAAAATTTGTAGTTAATTCAGGTCTGTCAAAAAGCATTTTTCAAGCATGTCCATGCTGTAAAACGAATCGGAAAACAAATATTTTTACTTAGTTTACCTTCTGTTGTCTTGTTGAGTAGAAAAGCATCGATTGCAACGAAACTAAAAGCTATTTATCCAGCTTTTATCGCGTCGTTTTAGGGGTTTGTCAGCCATGCTTGCTTGCACTAAAGTAACAAAGAAGGTGGGAAAGGGTATTTTCGTGAGCCATGAATGGTCAATATTTGTTCGTTTGAAATATGAAATGCTTGATTTTAGTGTCGTGAAATGTGATTTGTTGTACAGCCGCGAGGCGTGATTGTCAATAAAAATGCTCCGTGCACGTGAAATGTGAATTAAGGATGTCTGTTTCGTGAACTGTGATTTTGCTTTGTTCATTTCGATCTATTTTATAATAGTCATAGTAATATACATAAAAATATTATTTGACTGTGATTGGTTGATTCAGTGCAATTTTCTGTAATCACAGTCTTTGATGTGCATGCATGTTATATCCAAATTGCACTCGAAACCAAGCTATTATCTATACTAATAGACATAATACGCGATAATAATTTATATGATCGATCTCATTCGATTGCACAAGAGAAAAAATTTCGGAGGTGGTCGGACGTACTCTACACTCACACTCACCCAACTCTCGTACCCGTAAATATTTTCCCTCGGCCTTCCGCATCGGGCCACTTCTGAGACCTCGGGAAAATAATATTATTCAGTACGGACCTTGCAGTAGTCTCCTATGCAATTCGCCTTCCTATTGTATTCCATTAGCCAATAGCATTCAAATACACAAGACACGCCCACTTTGAATGTCAACTGTAAAGTGTAAACAAGGAGCGTGCGATAATCGAATAATAATACGGTATATACGTATTTAAATGGCCTTAAATGTGAACAGATTGAGTTTCCTGATCAATAGCAGTCGAAGTAGAAAATATTGAATATTTTTCCAACGAATGTACGCGATAGGTCGAAGGCTTAAATGTATATAAAACTATTCACTGGTAACACTTGTTTTGAACTTGACGCGAATGCGTGACGGCATGTATTATTATTAATATATACTATTACAGTAACAATATATATATATCATTAATAATTCATGAAGAAAACACAAAAGAAATCATGGGCGTGAAGGAGTCTGTATATGTGATACAGATTCATGTTGATTTACATAAACTTTAACTTTGATTTTCTCGGCTTAGACAACGTTTATTTTTAAAGTTACTTCGCCAATGAACTCATAAGATGAGTCGTTTTCGGCTCGAGTTTGTATATCCGATACAACACGGCCGCTCATGTTGTAAATATAGTACTAAGTTTCCGAACGTTCAATATCAGAGCGACTTTTGTAATTACGATTTTATTAAACTTTATAAACTGGCTAGTCATATACAAACTTAGAAACCGAAATATTCAATGAATCAATTCAGTATTTTATATAGGCTGAATTCTGTAGTCTTCAATTAGTATTTATAAATCTATTATCTACACCCGCAGTAATGTGCACTGTAACTTTATAACTTTGTCTTGACGTCTTTGTCCAGTATATTACCCGTGTTACAGTAACACCTGCAAACGCTTGTAAAGTAATCAAAACATCGCGAAATATTTTAGGTGATATTGTTCGATTTTTCTACACTGTCTGTTCAAAACAATAGCTCGACAAATTCTAACAGATTTTACAATTGTTCCATATTGTAAATTTGTAGACTGGTATATGTATAACAAATATACCTCTCAGTTCTCACATATAATCGGTTTAAGATATGAATTCGTACAAATGAAGATATAAAATGTTCAAGATTAAATGTTTTGAAACTATTAACGACCCAAGCCTCAAGGTCAAAGCCAAAGGTCAAGCCCCACAATTTTCGTGGGTAAAGCTGTGATTGGCTAATTTTGAGGAAAGGAATTCTTGGCCAAAGTAAGCATATCTTACGTGAGGGCTCAGCCCGCTAAGTAGGTATGCGTAGGAGACTAACCTCGCAGCGGTAAATAACATATATATACAGTATATTTTGAGCAAATGTGTTTCCAAAAATATGGCACAATCTCTCGTGCATGAAACAACATCGAATTTAATGTCCCAAAATATCGAACTCTTTGCATATACTTTAATTAATTTTTTCACGTTTTCAAACAGCTGCTTAAAGTTCGTAACTATTATGATCCCGGAAACTGCGCAAAAGACAACCATGGTGAACTTATTTTGGTGAAAGATCGCGAAAACAAGGATGCTGTTGTGATTTGTACTGAAGATGAAGGAACACACAGTTGGAAAACAACAGAAGGTATACCATGTCATGATGACTTGATGTCACTGTTCAATTAAAATTGTAATTGTATGTCAAAATCAGGTTAAAAATGGCATTAATCGCAATATACTTTTTTCAGTGAACTACTTTAATATGCAAAACATTAAAAATTCCCATGCTTTTGGTTATAGAGGCAAAATCAGAGATACCAACATATATTTATAAATCGATCTAAATACTAGGGACCTTATATACCATGTGGAACGGCAACGTGACGACGACGGCTATTCATACAATGATATTCATAATATGAAAAAAATATGAATACTTTATATCCCACGGGAGTTTGAGATGTCATCCATGGTCTGTTTACAACGGGAAACTACAGACTTTTACGTCTTGAATAAAACGTCTGCAAATTTCAAGACGCGATAATGTGATACTCAGAATTAGAACTTTCTCAACAATAAAGCCACTATTTCGAGCTAACCAAACAGTATTAAATTGATACGATCAATAATAGTCTACAAACTTTCTTCACATTCAATCGTTTATTTCAATGATTTTATTCTGGCCGTTGTCGTTGCGTTGCTGTCCTACATCGTAAGGTCTCTAATTCCTAGTGTGAAGCCCTATATTTGAAACATTTTCGTGTTGTTATTTAGTTAATTTCAAAGAAATCCGACCTTAAAATATCTTTTACAGGGCCGTCTGACAAAATGTCCGACAACGTTGAGTTTGGGTCGGACATATGTCCGATGACCTTCAGTTCAGTTTTGACTCGGAAATAAGTCTGAATGACACTACAAATGAATAAACGGTAAATGTTGTAAAGATATTAAATAATTTGTTTCTTTCATACTTATTTCCAAGCCAAAATTAACTTGCTTGCCAGAACAGCAGTATTAAAAAAGACTTCGACAATTTAATTCGTTTTCCACTTCACCATTTCGCTCGCGCGCCGCCCCGCGCTCGACTACGTTAAAACAACATTTCCAGTTCACCTTTTATACAATAGTACTCTGATTTTCCATTTAACATACAAGCCTCTAGTCCTGGGCTAGGGTACATTTTGATTTACGTCAGACAAAGCTACAGTTCGGTCGAACACCAATACACTCGGGTTGGACAAACTGATAAACCTCAGTTCCTCTCTACGTCGGACAATTTCACGAATGGGTCGGACAATGTCCGTGACCGACCGATATTTTAAGGCCTGAAGAAATAGAATTTCGTCTCAATAGAACTTTATCATCAACCAATATCATTTAAATGCGAATGAGTGACTCGATTAGAAAAAAGAGTAAGACAACTTCAAATAATTATATATTTTAATGTAAATCTTTTTTTTAATGTATATATCAGGCATATTTTAGGTATATTTAAAAAAATTTAAGTCAATTTTCAAAGTATCTTTCATGTACACATGTACCTTTTATAAAGGCTCAAGACCACCTGGTGAATATTTCAATCCTGGATATGACTGCTTGGATATCCTAACTAAAAACGAAAAGGCAAAGGACGGTTATTATTGGGTTGACTTTCATCGCTCGGTTCCATATAAGGTTTGATAACAAGGCAATTATTTCAGTAACTAAAATCAGTAACTAAAATCGGCTTATGTAATGTATACATATGTAACTTCTAAACATAATATTTTAACTATTATTAACAGCCTACTGACATATCATCTAATATTTAGGCACCTCACCACACATACAGGATCTATGCAGAACGTTTCTTGTATATAATTATGCTGATTATTGCTCTTAAATATATACGAACCAATGGACTTTACTCTTTATTGCATCTCTACCCAATGGCCTCGTTTTCATGTTAATTAACCTGTTTTAGTTAGCAAGTTATATATATTCCCATGTTTTGTCAGGAATATGTTTCTCTTTGATCTTGAGCCTAATCAGAAACCTTAACCCTATTGTACAAGAAAGATGGGGAAATAGGCACGTGCATGCATGAAAACGAGGCCATTGAGTCAAGGATGTAATAAACAGTGTAGTCCATTAAGAGCTTTCACACCTTTTCGCTCGGTAGGTCGCAAAATCTCGTCAACAATCTGATCCATTGAGCGAAAAGATATGAAAGCTCTTAATAGAGTACACTGTACATTACACCCTTAAGGTAATTCCGCAGTTTTGCATTGCCCACTTTTACTGCGCACATCTTATAACTTATAATTTCATCCATTATACGTACCGTTTAAAAAGAATATCATTTTATGACAATTTTATGTTACTTCAAAACATCTTTGGTTACATTCGTGCAAAGAATTACGTTAAAATCAATGTTTTCAAAAAAGGCATACAAAAGTGTAGCTAGGGTTTCCTGTGTCTGTAGTATATTTATTTACTTGTATTTCACGTTTTAATGCCACAATTCCCTAAAAAGATCGGTGACCCCCGTTTTTTAACTGATAATTTATTTCTTTAATGCATTTTACATTTCATATCCGAAATTAAAAGAAATATCATTTCTGGATCAGGCTTGAAAAAACACCTTTATCAACGCATGTTCTCAAAGAAAGATATGTAAAGAAATGTGGAAAAAACGTTTGTGGATCAGAATTGTACACGTTAGTAGTTTCATTTTGCTCAAAACACAATAGTTTTTCAAAAATAATTACAAGATAGGTTTACTAAAGCAAAATCCGTGCTAAAAACGTCAATAAATATCGGGCTGTTGTGAGTTTGCTGTTACTCGTAATGAGCGTCAATATGGCGCCATATTGGGGCAAAGGTGGTATATTGTGATTGTTATATCTTCTTAACGAGTTCGGTGACCCCGACTTTTTTGTGTGATTTTAATTAAGTATATCATAAACTCCATGCCTGGGAAGGTTCAGCACATTCTCATTTCGGGAACAATTACGGCGGAATTACCTTAATTTCCTCAATGGCCTTGTTTCAATGTACAGTTTTTGCATATATAAATATAATATATATTACACCAGATCCATCTCGAATCCCCTTCAACAATTGAACTCATGCTTAGTCAGGAAACACAGTTTAACCACGGTCGCATGGAAACCATTGTAGGTGTGGTGTGACATGAGCACAGATGGTGGTGGATATATGTTAATGGGGCGAATGAATGATAGTGTTACATGAATATACCATCAAGCAACACTACAGTAGAACCATTCGATGATCCACAGTGGTCGAGCGCATTTGGCGATATATCCATATTGGATTTTAGAGTGCAAGTTGCTGCTGATAAAGAATATAAACAGATCAAAGCACACTGGTATGTTCTGGCAAATTGAATATTCTCTCCATGCTGATTTAAAGCCGCAATAAGATATAATGCACATGCGACTTTGGAATTTTTATTTTGTGTTATAACAAAAAGTACATAATATATGGATCGCAACGAAACGTTTACTGAATTTCAATATACGCTATCATTTTTATTATATTTTTCCATAACGCAGCCATCATATGCTCAGTAACCCGCTCCTACTAAAACAGATCACTTCTTTGTCTCGAGTAGCTCACCTCCATAATATTGTTAAATTCATAGCCTATGTCGAATTGCCATTCGAATTCTATAAACTGCCCTTGTAAATTTGGAATCGAAGTGTCAATTGCGTTTAATGTTAAATTAGACTTCATTGAGCATTCGTGTTTTTTTCAGGTCATTTCGATTCAAAAATAAACGTCCATTGAAAAAATTAATGATGGTGAATGAAGGAGGATGTCCATATAATCTACCAGGGATTGGAGACATTTCCTACGTGAAAAACTTGATGACTGAAGAAATTTCTTCAACCGACTTTTCATGCTCAGTGTTTGGTGCTTACAGTCATCCTTCAGCCATGATTGGCTGGGTAAGTTAACTATACAGGGTGTATCAAAAAAAACTGAACAGATGTAAAATTGCTCTCAATTTCGCAAAACAGCTATATGTAGCTGGTTTTATATATATATAGATTCTTTGGGTACTTATAATGTAAAATAATGAAAAAAATTTCTCGAACTTAAATTTTGTGAACCAGGGGGGGTGTCTTTTCCAACAAACTAAAAATGGCTCGCGCACAAAATTTAAAAGCTGCAATCATATTTTGAGTTAACAGATGGAAAATTTGTCGGGATTTTAATTACTGTACAAAATTTCAGACAATTTGGTTTAACAATTTGGTTGACAATTTAACTATTCACGCAAAGTTACAATTTTCCCGAAAAATCAGCTATTTGCATGCTTAATTAATGCATTTGCCTAATTTGCATATGTCAGCAATATGCAAATTAGGTAAAGGCATTAATTAAGCATGCGAAAGGCTGACTTTTTAGAACAAAATGAATAGTTAAAGGGCTTAAACTAAACCAAATTGTCTGAAATTTTGTACAGTAATTAAAAACCCGACAAATTTTCAATCTATTAACTCAAAATATGATTACAGCTTTTAAATTTTGTGCGCGAGCCATTTTTAGTTTGTTGGGAAGGACACACCCCCCTGGTTCACAAAATTTAAGTTCGAGAATTTTTTTTTATTATTTTACATTATAAGTACCCAAAGAAGCTATATATATAAAAAACCAGATACAAATAGGTTTTTGCGAAATTGAGAGCAATTTCAAATCTGTTCAGTTTTTTTTGATACACCCTGTATATAAATAACTATACAGTAATTCAAGCAATGCAATATCCCAGAGATCAGTTCCAATAAAAATATTGTTTTGTTTTTGAGTAAATTGTCTTCCAATAATTTTGGCAGTGGGAATTCTTACTAATTTACCTAGCTGACGTACGTACGTGAGGCAAAGTGGCAAATACGCGGCGGGATCTTGGGCGTATGAACGTACATTTACATTATTTCAAGTAGTTCTAACGAAAGAAGGTGAAACATTAAATATTTCCAGACTAAAACTCTAAGAAATGCAGGAAAATTCCAATGTTTTTGGCGTGCCCAGGGTTTAAAGAGTGGCGAGCCAGACATATAGGCATAGCAACACGTCATGCTATGAAAATATTTAATGATTTGCATTATTCAAACGTTTAGAAATGTATTGTCTTTAACCAATATTTAGATGCAGGTTTATTAGCATAGCATGACCAGTTGCTATGGCTATAGCTTCGTCCTGGGTTTAGGTAGTGCATAACGAAATCTATATCTCTGTGTTTAGACCAGAATGAATTCTTGCCTGCGAGAGGAATGTCCGTATGGATTCGCCTATCATCACGTGATTCCTATTCAGGTTGACTTTTCTGGTGGATTCAGGTGATCTTTTTTATTCATTTTTGAAGCGAGTAGTATTTATTAGCAAGTTGTATTGAACAGGCAAAAAAGGACACATCACCATGAATTGGACGTACATTTGCCCCAATCGTTCAAAATCCGCATTAATTACATAATATTTGAATTTCACAAACGACTTTTGGCAACAACAAACTTGCTCGATTACGGCGAACAAGAAACACGGCCTTTTTGGCAAGTATAAGGTCATCAAAAATGCCCTTCGGTCCACTTCGTCGCTTTGACACTGAATTTGAGATGTCTTCTTGCATGCCGCCCGTCGACTGCCCAAAAGACCAAGACGAACATTGAGAGGCGTTTGGAACCGGTTTGCTGCGAGCCATAGCTATATAGCTTTATAGACAGAATGTTTATCAAATTAAAAACTGTATATATATATATATATATATATATATATATATATATATATATATATATATATATATATATATATATATATATATATATATATATATATATATATATATATATATATATAAGACTAGATGAAGGTATTCTTGAACAGAAATTACGGTGATCGTATGACAATAATTGACAACTACTCTTGGCCTATTTCTTGATGAATATTTGAATGATTGCATTTATCTTGGTTTAAAATCTATTGAGATGAATAGATATATTTAGTAAGTTTTGTTTTGTTATTTACTGGAATCTTTCTTGGACAGTTTTCTTGCTGCAAATAACTCTGGAACGACTGATGGCACTACGGCATTTTTTGGATGTGATAAAGGAAAGGTATATTCTGCAATTAGTTGGAGTCATATTAAGCTAAATTAAATAACTGCATATACATATGGTCACATCTTACAATTTGACCGAACACTTTTCAATGTTGGTTGTCTATAAACGAATATTTATACAGGCAAGATTACTTCAGTTCAACAATGAGCTCGTTTTTCAAAACTTTATATATGTACGAGAAATAACTGTTCTAAAGGCCTTAAATTTTCTTAATAAGTACTATTTAAAGCACGCGTAGGAGACGTGTTTTATCACATATAAAACACGACGCGTAGCGGAGTGTTTTATATGTGATAAAACACGACTACAAGTGCTTTAAATAGCTTCAAAAACGACTCATCTTATACAAGTTCATTGGCGAAGTAATTTTTAAAATAAACTTTGTCTAAACCGAGAAAATCAAAGCTAAAGTTTATGTAAATTAACGTGATTTTTATCACATATAAAACCACGACACGCTTATGATTTTTCTTTGTGTTTTGCTCCTGAATTTTTGAATATTAATTAAAACCCAAAAAGTGTACAACAAGTTATGAAATCAGTAAAATGTGTCCGTAATTCCGGATGTCAAAATTATAAAACGTGCTCCTCGAATCGCATGCGTTCTCGCATGGCTCTCGCGCGTACTAGTACACGTAACGTAAATTATAAAATATAGAAAGATACGTCTCATTTTGGAACAACATTACTGCCGAGCTAGTGAGAGACGACTCTTGTCATATATGTATTAGTAAAAATGTGCTTGTTGAATGCAAATCTATTTGTTTGGCTTCTGACTTTGCGACGAAATTATATGCTGCATGATGGTACGTGTATGAGCTATAATTAAGGTTACAGAACACCTTTGAGTGTTAATTTTGCCTAAATTTTTTTTATTGGTTTCCATGAAAGCATTAGACTAGTTCTACTATCTGACCAAGTTTGGACGAAAAATGTTGAAAACTCGCAGTTATTTAATAAAATACATTTCGCTTGCAATAAGAAAAACATTGAAAATGTAATATTCAAATTTAATTTTCTCCCAAAGAATTTTACGGCAATTACTGATTTTTAAACGAGTTGTGCTCCTGCGGGTTTTAACGAATTTTTCTCAAATTTCCACAGGACATAGCTAAAGACGTCAGTTTCAAACTTGTGTTCGGCTTTGTTCTAATTTTGGATATTTTAATAATAAGGAGCAATTCACACAAACGATTCAGAAATATATTGCAGTCGTCAAAGAAATCGCCATATCAGCGGAATGACGAAATAAACAAAAAATTCCGAACACAATTTTTTAGAACAACTATTTTACTGTATAAAAATGATATTTTCATAAATATATCTTAAAACCAGCAGGAACATAACTCAAAAGCCTAAAGGTACCGCGACTTAAGATTTTCCTGAATAATTCTTACATTATTTTATTGTTTGTCAATTTTACAACTTTATCATATTTTGCATGCACTGGCTAACATTTGGTGAAAATCTGACGAAAATCGGACTGATTTTGAGCGCGCAGTAGCGATTTTCCACAAAACGCCAAAAAGGGCGTCCTGTAACCTTAATATTCTGTCATAATCATCATATAGCTATCATAAGGATCATATTGCCTCCAAGTCTCGTGAATGTAAAAGGTTGCACGTAACATAATTTATCTTGACTTTATGTATTTTTGTGTGTTTACCACAATTTAATACAGCTGTCGCAGCTTTAAGTAGGTTTAGTAAATTTCATCAGTTATACAAAGTCGAGCCGAAAGCGAGAGGTAGCAGCATTTCTGATACAACACTGACGTGAATGATGTAAATAGCTTGCGAAACTACCTTCTTACTTCCAGAAGGAAGTAAGAAAGCAAATACCATTACAATTTTATCACAAAGCAAAAAATTGCCATCTTTCTATGTTAAACGATAACGATAAGTACGTTTTGTATATATTTTACACTAGTGCTGCGCCTGCTATGGTCCAGTCGGTGGCAGTGGTGTTTACTGTGGGAAAGAATGTAAAGCTAAGAACGGTGGTACTGTTACAAAAGATGCTCACGCTTGGTTTTGGGTGAGATTGAATCCCCCACAGAAAGTCTGGGAAAAATGCATGGAGTACAGGACTGAAGAAGAGAACGGTGATGCAGCATGGTATAAGTTGATTGGAAATAGAAACACACCTGTGAAGGTAGTACATACTGCAGCACAACGCAAATATAAAATGGGAGTACGATCTATATAATATGTAATATTGTTATTTCCCCTAACGCCAGAACGCTATTCCCGAAAAAGCAATGGTAAGCTACGTTATGCATGTTGAATAACTTTGTTTTGGCCAGGAATGGTCTCTTAATACTAACTTTGAAAGAGGAGAATACTGATTTTTGGAGCAGAAGATCATTTGTCATACCAACTTATACCAACGGTTACAAATTTGGGCACCGCCTAAAGCGAACAAGCCTGGGTTTAACAATTCTTTTTTGTTTGTCAGAATGTTACTTGCCACCCATCCACATGTTGTAATCTAACCTATCAGACCTATTGGGATTATATACAGTTAGGGGTGGGTTTTGGTGAGGGTCGTCTAATATGCGTGAAAATAGATCGAGACCTAGTAAGTTATTCGAATTGACGTTCTAGTCAACAATATTAGAGAGCTTCAGATTTGATTATACGAGTACGAATATGACTGCCAGATTCGTTGTTTGCAAATACACTGTACTCGCCATCTCCTTTCGCAATTCCGTACACACGCCATAAACCTGATGCTTCATGCTTACGACGAGACCTCTCAAAAATCCCGTTGTCAATTTGGTGACGGCTACGAGATTTATAGGCATCAGTAGATGATGGCGTAAGAATATGGCGTATCCAAATAAACGAATCTCGTACACGTAGCCAAACCTAAAGCACTCTATTATTGGCTGACAACGAGCGGATCGGCTGTACCTTTTTAGTAAACTGGAGTGTTTTCTTAATATAGGGTCGATGTGGAAAAAGTGAACCAATTTTAAATGATGGGGTAGGGAAGCATTATAGTGCAATATTTGTAATCTTCATGTTTCTTATGCTGACAAGTATTTAAATCAGTTGCAAGTACCATTGTAGAGCCAATATAACCAGATGCTAGTAAAACGTTTTGTTTGCGGCCAATTGGCCAATACATTCAACTGTATCTATACCCAGTACTCACTATATTTTGCCAGTTTGACGATTCCTTAATTTATTGACTTTGTGTGTGATTTCTTCCTTCTGGTTTTTGAACCGGCAGGATTATAGACCTAATTGTCTTAAGCTACGTTTACACGCTACGATTAATCGTGTACGATTCGTAGTCTAGCGTTTTAAAATGAGTGCTGGCGCCATAATTCATTGCCGTTTCGTTAAAAAGTAATTTCAAATGTAGACTTATCTTTTTTCCTACATTAGATACTTCTACGATTATTATTAAATGAGAAGCAAAAAAAATTTTGGAGAAAGGAAAACATCGAAAATGTTTAAAGTTAAAGTTTCGTGGAGGCGCTATTTACATTGTTGCAACAAATTATTAGCATTTTGCACCTGCGTTTGTCATGTGATCCTACACGACGGGAAATTATTAAGTTGAGAGAATACAAGAGAAGCGTGTAAAACGCGAAGCGTAGCTGAGTATTTTACCACTTCTTTTGTAATATAAATGGAAGATATTACATAATAAACAATTTTATTCAAAAGATCAACTTTGAAATTTTCCTATAACATGTAATAAGTGACGCCACGCGCGTGTTGTTACAGCATTTCAGGCTATCCGCTTGAATTTTAAATTTTCAAAAGCTTCATTCTTAATGTTTTTGTACTTAATTGAAATCATTATGATGCAACAAATGTTCCAATTCTGACTGTTCGTAGGAATACCTTAATGTAACCATGGATATTCATTTGTATAGACAGTACAAGAGAAACGAATACTGATCAATATAAGTCGACAAAGTGTAGCCGGATCATTTTAGCGGCAAAGTTAGTACCTTTCATTCGATGGATAATGGGGATCATTGAATCTGTGTATAATTTTTATAGATTGTTGTTGTTCCTGATAATGTCACCCATAATAAAGTACCACAAATTACTGGACTGTTGGCGTATCAGAAGGACGTTGAAGTGCTTCACTTAAGAAAAAATGACGCGTGGAAAGTTATGGCGGAGGAAGAGAAGGTTAATGCTTTCTAGATTGCAGATTAAGTAATATTACTAGGGTAGCTGCAAGGTAGGGATTGCTGCAGGCATCAAGAGCAAATAGAATTAAATAGTACAAATTACATAAAGCACAGTTATTACTCGCAGCTAGCCAGGGATTGGTGAGCACTGTGGATACCTGGATACCTGGATACGGAATCGATTCATGCCATGAGTGTAACTGAGAAAAAGCAATGCATTTGTTGCCAAGACCGGGGGTTAAATAGCAATCACAGGTGACAGATATATTAAATATGTGCGTCTTATTGAATACTTGCGTGTTAATGTTAATGTTTATGAAAGTAATATTCACTAAAGCATAATAGGCCGTGAGACGAGAGTCGAAAATATGCTTAGAAAACAGATTCCGTAGCACCCCTCGTGTAACTACATAATTTTTACATGAATGGTAGATTAGAACTTACTTAGTTAGAATCCACT